GGGAAGCAGTTTAAGACACTGCCATTAATGACAGTTTTTGGAGTTTACATGTTATAGAATATTGCAAGTGTCTATCTACAGCACATGTTAACAAAATATTCTGTAACAATTTAAAATGCACTTCTGTGTGATCATTCATTTACTTATGGAGATACTAAGGACAAATACTGATATTCCTTTCTCTAATGAGTGTCAAAATAGAAAAGAACAATCTAGGTCAAAAGTTAACAAAGCTTAGGACTGATAATCAGAGAGTCAAATTTGATGAGCATACCTTAAACATTACAATGGTGTCAAAAGCAGAAAAATTCTTTCTTAAATAGTTATTAATAAACTAATAACTATTTTTACATTTTTTATAAAACCTACAGAATATCCATTGAATATGTTGGAAGAAATAACCTTTACTCAACATATTAAAGAAAGAAAATAGTTCAAAAGAAAAAAGGCACACACAAAAACTGTGTAAAAACATTAGAAATGAGACTAATATCTTATAATAAAACTGTGTAAGTTATAAACAGAGCTGAGCTGCCGTTTAATCTTTCTAAAACTTTCTTTAAATAGTAGTTTTAAGCAAACACTTAATATCAACCTTGAGATTCAAACTACATTTGACTCATATCTATAAATTTCAATGTGACGGGCAGTTGTTAATCCTGCTTGGGTCGACGTGTCCATTTAATCATCGTCTCTGAAGAACGATACACAAACAACAACTTTGCGAGCAACTCCTCTTCCAGCTTGAAATCCTTCATCTCACGTACAAGGTAGATATTCAAACAGAGGCTGAGAATTCGATCCACGTATGGCAGTTCTCGGAACATAATCCAAGAAAGAAGCCCAGTGGTGCTGTAGCGGAAGATTCGTCCAATCACCAGAATGAAGGAGAGATACAGGCCGATGATGCTGTAAAAGTGGGCACATAACATGGAGGACAGACTGTGACAGTGTGAAACAGGTCAACTGGCTTATGAGGAGAAGTTGATCATGAGGGAACTTATGAATGGCATACATAATACCCTTCTTATTAGCTGTCACTAAACATGGTAAAATAATTGACAGCCCTGTGAGCAGCAAAGAACAATAAGTACTGCTATGCTATTAATATAACTGTCAATTTTCAATTTTGCAAAAAAAAAAAAATAAATAAATAAATAAATAAATAAAAATAATAAAATAAATAAATAAAATAAATAAAACATTTTGTAAAATATTTTTATAACTTAAGTACATGTATATAACTGACTTTCAATTTGTTGATGTTTTCACTTGTTTTAACTAACACTCTCTTAAAAACGAAATTCAACAATTCAAGAAAAAAATCTACTGCAATTCAACACGTGGATAGTATTTTAATACAATAACTGCCTACAGCAAATTAAATAACACCTTTTGATGAATATTAAAAGTAATATGACAATTAAAAGACACTTAATCATTCTTCATATTCTCCTGTCACATCTAAACACAGACAACACTGATATAAAACCATGCTGAAAACAGCTTTAATTCTTACATTTTCAAAACCAAAAAAATTGAAACATGAAGTTGAACAAAAAACAAAGTAATTCTGAAACCATGCGTCATCCACTGGGAAACAATAAGGATAAAACCATACAACATATCAACACTGAAGTAAAAACACGAGGTGTTAGAGCCTTGCTTTGGTCAAATGAGGACAAACTAAGACCTGTTATAGACTATATGATGTCACAAGACAGCCAGATTCTGTAAGGATTGTAACACAGGGTTCATTCTAGCTTAAATTTTCCTTCAGCTCAACTGCTGAAAACAATTAGCCAATCACAATTTTGAGTCAAAATAGCAAGTAATTGTCAACATAAAATAATTATTCTTTTTAAACAAATGTGGATCATCTTTGGCATCTGGCAAAATTATGATGTAACTAAAATCCACCCTGCCTCAGACACTAAAAACACTGGTTTCATGATATGGTTGTTGGGTGACGTCATCAAGTCACTGAAGGGTCTATCTTAGTTCCACTGTGAACACAACTTTAAAATGCTTATAATCTTAACATTCAAATATTTCTTAACTTTAAAATTATAAACACATTAATAGAAAAATGACGCAACATTAAAAAGTCACAGTATTTCTGAGTGTAAAAAAAAAAAGTGAAATCTGAATTAATCAAAAGCAGTTTAAAGTTGAAAATCATGCAAACTCATAGAAACCATCATTAGAAGACAGGTCTAACTCACTGGCATGTAAAACAAGATAAAAAAAACTAAATGGTGAATGCATAATACTTCAGGATAACCCAGGGGAAGGGGATTTGTTCGGGAGGGGCAGGGGGAAGCTATCAAACTGAAGTGCATTGTCAACAACAAAACATAAAAATATAAACTTAATTCTATTGAATTTAAAAGATAACATCATAATCAATAGAAGAGAAATGCTGCAATGCATGATAGATAAAGCAGAGTTATAAGAAACATAGAGGATGTAAACAATGGTTGCTTAGATGGAGTGACAACATAAAAAAGAATTTTAATTGTCATTCATTATCTTCAAAACCTTAAAAAAATACAAAAAGTTATCACAGCATATACTGTAAATATTCTCAAATAAAACATTCACATGTACATGAACAAGCAAAAAAGCTGGCATGCCATGCTCACAAGTCAACAGAACAACTGTCCAAAACTCAAGGCCCTCACCTGTTCAAAACACAACAACACTTGTCAGCTCCTTTAGAAAAGAACATACACGCACATGTACATGCACACTATTTACCCCCCTCACAACAGACCATAGATGTATTCACATGTATAAACATGCATTCTGTAACCACCAATTGAAACCACCATAACAATACATTTCTCATCTACCACACTCAGCCTCTCACCTACTACACTTCTCTCAACTATCACACTTCTCTCTCTCTCTCACCTACCACATTAAGCCTCTCACTTACCACACTCTGTCTCTCACCTATCACACTCCTCTCTCTCACCTACCTCACCCAGCCTCTCACCTACTAAATTTCTCTTATCTATCACACTCCTCTCTCTCTCACCTAACACACTCAGCCTCTCACCTACCACACCCAGCCTCTCACCTACTAAATTTCTTTCATGTATCACACTTCTCTCTCTCTCACCTACCACACTCAGCCTCTCACCCAACACACTCAACCACACTTACCCATATCCTGTGAGCAAATCAAACCCAGGAGGTGCCACCCTCTCACTGAAGGCCACCAGTGTCAGGTAATCTCTTCTAACCAGTTTGTCATTTGAGTTCAGGTTGTATCTCCCTCTGACAAACTCCTGAACCTCCCACCACTCAGCACTGGTACTCTCATTGTTGAAGACGTCCCCTCTCTTCAGGGTCAGGCTGATGTTGGTGGGGAGAGGACTTCCAGCTAGAAAGGGCATATGGACAGTATATTATCAAATTGTATATGGGACTGGATGATTAGTATATTGAGCAATGTCAGTGTTTTTATGTGGCTTAAAATATGTGTTGTGCATGGTCCATGTGATTACCATTGTCAAAGTGTATATATTAAACATGAAAAACTAAAATGAGAACTGGTATGCAATCACTGATCCCCAATGAGAGACCATTATTGTGTTTACAGTGAGCCTGCTGTTAAAATATGCTAAAGGTACATATAGCCCTGTCTCTCTTGTTAATAAAGTCTTACCACCATTTTTAAAGATGCATTTTAGGTCATTTTTTTGCCTCAAAAACAGACTGAATGCCACCATATCGTTTCAAATGGTATAAATTACAGAAATACCAAAAGACATTGTTCTGTATTACTTGAAAAATGATATTTGAACAGATTTTTCTGTTTGCCTTCTGTGCTGTATATTAACAGGGCAGATAAGTTGGTCAGATAAGCAGGCCAAATTTATGACCAAAACTTTGAAGAAGGTTTGGTTAAAAGTTCTTTTATGTCTGATCAAATGATTAATTCAGTTTATCCCTTAGCATGTTGACTTTATTTTAGTCGTATAAGAAACTAGCACACTGCAGAAGTGGTTTATTTGCTTTACTGGGAATCCATGCTCCACCGACACTTGGCTCTATTGTACCTTTAAGAGCAGAGACTTCTGACGGTCGTCCATTCACAGGGACTTGGAGAAACTTTGGAAGGAGCCTCAACACATATCTGAAATTGAGAACAAATATATAGCTAACTATAAATATATAGCCAACTAGAAAAGCACTCCGAAAGCGCAGACCTCCGCCAAGGCAGCAATTTTTTATTATTATTGATTGATTATTGAACCGGATCACCACCAAAAACTAATCATCTGTTCCTTGGCCCACTTCTAACAGCTCCTAAAAATTTCATCAAAATCGGTCCATAACTTTTTGAGTTATGTTGATGACAGACAGAAAGAAAGACAAACAAACAGACAAACATAACCTCCTTGGCGGAGGGAACTAGATCAAATCTTGATTTGAAGACACTGAAATGTGCTCCTGTATGCACTTACAACTAATTTAAATTTTTACTATCAGGCCCGTAATCAGTGATTCCATCCTAAAATTGGGAGCTCTTTTCCTGAAATAGTGGACCTTTTACCATTAAGCCTTCATGTATGTAGATCATTTTTTATCCAGAGCAGACAACTCCCTGCAAAAAGGGTGGTTCATAGAACCCCTACCCCCCCTGTACAGGCCTGATTATACACAGTTTGATCACAGTGCAAAATATTTTCCCTATGTACAACTACTGTACACCTGCACTGTTCAAATTATATATATATATATATATATATATATATATATAAAACTATGACCAATGCTGCTGTCCAGATTTCTGAATGTATAACCATGTGCAAATTTAATAAATTGTGTGCAAGCACAGAGGCAATTTCAGTACATGTACTTACATACTGCCCAAACTTCCAAATGTATTACTAGTATTAACAATCCTAGCAAGTTCGATTCTTTGACTTTTATTGAGTGGCTGCTCAAACCACTGACTGATGATGTTGGCTGACTGGCCTTTTTTTGGATCCCTGGAAAAATGACAGCCAGAAATGTATCACAGAATATCTAGACATTAACATGTAACTATTGTTGAATCCTCAGTAACTCGTATGTCTTAGCAATATCTTTCTATATTTTATTCATAGGCTGATTCAAGGTCATCTATCCAGGTAAATTCATAGATAACAAGGTTAGAATCTGATTACCTGTCAACTTTTACCTGGTGTTTTCAAAGTGTAACCTAGAGTTAAAACTGTCTTTTAATTGCTTAATTTTCAAGAACTTCCATTACATGCACCTACTACTTCAATTGCAATCAGATTCATATACATTACTTATCTTATTTTCTTCAGCTCTCCACATTTTTACCGTGAAAATTTTACCTTTATCATACTGATGAAGGGACTAAATCTAATGTCCAATATAATAAGATGAAACTTAAACATTTTTGTCAGCAATGTCCTGATTCATGCTTATGTACCAACAGAGATGAAAGTGGACTTTTTTTTTAAAAAAAGAAAAAAAAAATCCTGAAAATGGAAGCACTGAAGTAGTGCAGCTCTATATGGTGGGTAGGTATGGGGTCTGGGAGGCACCATTACAACACCCAAATATCCCTATTCCCAGATAAATCCACAAGACATTTATCGCGTTATCCAGGCCCCTGTTTCACAAACAAAAAACTTAAGTCAGGTTCCCTGGCTAAGAACTTAATTACCAAGGTTACATGATCACAAGGGCACATCTTATCCTATCAGAAGCAGTGTAACAACACTCCCATGGAAATCCTAGTCAACTAAGCCAGGGAACTGACTTCAGTTTTTTTGTGAAACTGGGGCCAGAATTCCTTCCCCACCTGATCATCTCCACCTTCAGCCTGATCTTGATGTCCTTCTTCGTGTCGTTCAGGTCCTTCACCATGTCCATCATGGTGGGCGGGCTGATGGCCCAGGTGGCGGTGGACGTCCCCAGGACTTCTATCCTCACTGTATCCTTGGCCTCATAGATACTCAGGAATGCTTGGACATCCTGAATAATAATAATAATAATGATAACAAAAATATGATGATAATGATAATTTAAATAATAAACAATGATAATAACTATAAAAATAATAATAATAAAAAAAACTTAATATAGTGCAATTATAACTACTACTACTACTAGAGTAACTGTTACTACTACTACTTCTTTTAAAAGTAATATGTGTAAACATTATTATCATTATTGATTATATTCTTGTAACATATTCTGGCATGAAGACACAAACTTAAACAGCAATGTCTTTGCCACATTCAGGTAGAATTCCACAAAGAAATGAGATAACAGGATAACATAATAGAGGGTTGGGGTTATATATAACACAAAAATGCCTTGCATGCAGCCTTACGTTATCCATTTTATAGTTATCCTGCAGTGTCCTGTAATCCTGGTCTGTGAACTGGTATATCTGGCCCGGCTGGGCATTCATCTGGTACAGGGGCTGGAAAGGAAATCAGGAGTTAATCCAGTGAAGACATCCAGGTTTATACATCCCTTACAGTGTCCCTCATATTTTGTGCCATGCTGAATACTGCTTGGTATGAATAAATTTAGTATTTTATGGCTCATACAGGAAATTTAATTAGTATGAAACTTTAGTCAGGATGGTCATATGAATATGCTATACAAGCACCATAATTACCTGCCATCTCATTTTTAAGTAAGTTATAGTCATTTTTACTAGTGAACATTTTCTGATCATTTGAAGAAATGTTCCAGAAAAGAGAATAATATATTTCAACCTTACCTACCTGATATTTGTCCGAATAACAACTATGTGTCTAGCCAATTCATTATTACCTCTTTATATCAATATTCTAGTCTAAAGAATAACCTTTTATCACCTACCAGATATCCTGCCAGCTCCACAGAGATCCTGCACTCTATGGGAGGGTTGGACAGGTACACAGTGTTGGCGAAGGAGAAGAGGACCAGCGGGAACCAGATGATGAAGATGATGAGGAAAAGCACCAAGCCACCAAATCCATATTTCACTATTGCTCGCCGTGGGTTGCCTCTAGGTGTGGGGTATTTCTGAAATTAAATAAATAAATAAATAATAAATAAATAAATAAATAGGTGGTATAATATCTTCACTTCATAATTGTAAAATTAAAAAAAAGTGAACAGATGAGTCACATCAATGATGTGCACATTTTGTGCAATATTTGTATGCATTTGACTTGTCCCATCAGACCTGACAAGCCAATCAAGTTACAGTAATTTTAATAAAGTTATATAAAACAGTTATGCATTTGTTCAATTTGGTACTCTCATAAACTTGTTCACTATAACTACTGCTTAATAATAATAATAATAATATTAATAATAATAATTTAAAAAGAAAATAATTACAAATTTAAATAAATAATAATAAAAGAACATCTCTGCTCACATCTTCTGCAGTCCTCCAGCACTTGAGGACGTAGATATTGGCGTAGATATCCTCCATCTGCAGCCAGCTGCCCAGCGCCAGGGTGGTGTCTGTCCAGATCCAGTCCATCAGAGCACGCAACTCCAGCAAGAACGGGATGGCCAGAAAGCTGAAATAATCAAGTATTTCATACATTTATCATACATGTACATTTACATACATTTATAAGTGAGAAAATGCGTGAGCATGTGTGTGTGTGTGTGAATGTGCGTATGTGTGAAAACTAAAAGACTGAATCACTGAAGTGATATTGGGGTGCTTGATTGAAACTTGTTTACCAAACACAGTTATTCCTGAGGAACGGAAATAAAAACAAGAAAATATACATAGATTTATCAGTGCAAAAATTAGCGTATGTGTGTGTGCTGTACACCCATGGTTGCTTGCATGCATGCTTATGTATATGTGTGAAAGCAGAAAGACAAAAGTGATAGACATAAAATACCTGCTGATAAATAGTTTGACGACAAAATATGACCACAGAGGAAAAAACAACCTCTTCCAACCAGTTTTGAATAAAATAAGTTCTGCAATTTTGCAATATAAAGAAAAACCTAGTTAAATACTCACCCTTTGAATAAGAAGAGGTTGAGGTAGTTGTAGGACTTGGTGAGGAAGTTGCCTAGGATTCTGGTCGGATAGCCACATCTGATCTGATAGGCAGACAACCCAAAGTAAACACACTTCACAAAGTACCATAGATTAGCTGGGACATTGTCTACAAATTTTCTGAAACAAACAAAAGCAAGTTGTCAAATTGTCCTGAGGCATTACTTTAATTTGCCATGTAAGACTACCAAAATTTCTTTTCTTCCTAAGGTTGCGTTCACATGAAAAATCTATACTCTAAAAACCTAAAAATCCATTGGTGGTATCTAGTGATCACGATCTGTGCCCTGAATACCCTGCGGCGTAATAAACTAGCAGTGCGAGCGAGTCGTTTCCAAAGCTGTAATTATAATAACATAATAATAATATGTGTATTTATTTGCAACTTAAAAAGTTGGATTTTACAATTAAAACAAATAGTCATGAGATGCACAATCTTAAAATATACTTGTAAGTGTTAAAATGATTCGATACACATTAAAAATTCATAAAAACCTCAGTTCTTAAAATTTGATAAAGCCCATGGGATAAAAGTTTTTGACGATCGTACAGTCCTCAATTTTGGCACAGTGTACTTATAAACCCGGCGCAAAGTGTAGGAACTTTCATTTATCTCTGGTAGCAAATGATGGATTTTGTGTCCTTCAGAGTACATGTTATGCAATAATGTTTTAGATAGTTCATCTCTTCTACAAGCAAGAGTAATAATTTTACATGTTTCAAGTGCCCCATCATAGGGCAGCTCTGGGATTAATTCTCCGCTGTGCTCGGAGGAGATTCTGACACCTGGACGCATGCGCAGTTGTATCTCTAAACTGTGGATTTCGTCAGTTTGCACTCACATCTGTGGTGTGTATATGGACCTCATCTTCTTCATATTGTTGTTGCACAAAATTGACAAACACATTTTTCAAAGCAACTGCGACCGTCATTATCTTTCTCTCTGCGCATGCGTCCAGGTATCAGTATTTCCTCCGAGCGCAACTAAGATTTAATTACAGCTTTGGAAGTAACTCGCTCACTCTGCTAGTTAATTACGCCGCGGGGTATTCAGGGCACAGACCGTGATCACTAGATACTGCCAATGGATTTTTGGGTTTTTAGAATTTAGATTTTTCATGTGTACACAGCCAAAGTCTCATTTTCTGATGTACACTTAAGGTGCATTCAGATTCATACATCGTACCAGTTGTGTTTATCCAACTCTGCAGAGGATTTTGGCTAAAGTGCAGTCAGTGGAATCAGCTTAATTAGCACACAATAGCTAATTACCCTCTAGCTGCGCGAGAAGGCATGTCAAACAATTAAGCCGATTCCCCTGATTGCACTGTAGCCAGAATCCCTCACAGATGTGTGAATCTGAATGTGGTCTTTTATCCTTTCTCTAAATCTGTCTCCCTCTTTCTCTTTCTCACACACATTTATATACAAACACACACACACACACACCATCTCACCTTTCAGTGATAGCAGGCAGAGCAAAGAATACCCAAATATGTAGCACCAGGACCAGGATAATCTGGAACGCAAACTTGCCAAACACGTCCTTCTTCAGGTACAGAGCTCTGTCCACCACTATCAGGACAAACTGGACAATCAGCATGACCAGGAATGGCCATGGGATCTAGAATGGTCACAAGAGCAAATGCCCTTAGGACTGTTTGATAAATCCTTACTGAATTATTGTAATAGAAAATGGTAAGTCCAAGAGCCAAACTGACATTAATATGGTGTATTAATATGGTGTACAAAGAGGATTTGGGGTTGTTTGAAAAAAAAAAAAGTTGGAAGCTTGATGGTCTTATGACCAAAGAGCAACTGAAGCCAGTAAAAACTCAAGAAAAAAAAAACACATTTCTGATTTTAATTTTAAAAAAAGTCTGAGTATATATTTCAATTCGTACCACTGAAGAAAATTATTTCTTGCCAGGAGCAGAAAAAAGTTTGAGTGGGCTAAGTCTGGTTCTTATGTTTTCATGCTTACCCTGTTTTCTGATATATAAGTAGCCACACTGGAGGCATCCCCACTAGCTGCAGTCTGGAAGTTTAAATATTGTCTTAAATCCATCTTATGTCTTGATAGACAATTTCTTTAAATCTTTCAATCAATTGAAGCAAAAGAATTACTCTCATCTTTTAATGGCAAAAAAAGCAATTAAATTAAGGATCCAACTTACAAATCATGCAATAATCCCAAAACCTTAAACATCAAGATAATTACTATAATCTTTGGGACCATTCACAAAGAATTTTAGCTAGATCACAAAATTAAATGCAAATGGTCCCTTTGATGTGTAACTATTTCTATATTCAGAATATGCCATGTGCCATGGGAGGTGTATACTTACAGGTGGTCCAAATGCCCAGTACCCAAACATGATGATGAGGAAGTTAATGAAGTCACAGGCAAACATGGGAGCATAGGCATCTGCCGTGGCATTGTATAGAGGATTGGTCATATTCTGATAGAACTCCTTCACTGACTTGGTCCATGACATGGTGGGCCTGAAAACGGGAATTATTGTAGTCTTTGTCAATTTTTTTTGTTAATATTGTGATTTATATATACAAAACATGGTCTTTGTTCACCATGAGATGTTCTTCTCAGTTACTGTTTAGTTATTGTGTCGTTATTATTTGGTAACTAAGTATAAAAATAAAACATGACTTCCCAATACCAATTTAATATCCATTGAAAGATAATTGGATGCAAAAAAGATGATATGAGAAAAAGTTGTAATAATCTGGCCATACTTCCTCTTTCTTTTCTTCTTTTTCTTCTTCTTTGTCTCTTCCTCCTCCTCTTCATCCAACATCTCCTCCTCCTCCTCTCCCTCTTCCTCCCCTTGCTCGTCCTCTTCAGCTGCAGTCTCCCCACTGCTTTCCTTCTCATCACTAGCAGCACCAGCCTCTGTGCTCAGGGTCTGAAAACAATGTTGATGTTTTCATTTAAAATGACATAGCTATTTTAATTTGTAAAAAATGCAGTGCAAAAAAAGTGCACATTCTTTAACAACATACTAAAAGTTGAAGGTTGAACTTATTTTAATGCATGCTATCTCCTTGTCAGCTCACTTTTAACCTCACTTGGAAAAGTAAAAAATATTACTGCTCATTTGTTTATCCAATTTTGCAGTTGTGATAATGCAATGTAGAAAAACTGTCATTTTTAAATAAAAAAGCTGCACAGTGAACATAATCTGATGTCGAATAAAGGGTTGGTCAATTATGCCATTCATACATGCATGCAGCTTGCATTAAAAAAAATTCAAGATAAGAAAAAAATTGTCTAAATCTTACCACATTCTCGTCTTCAGGGGAGCCCGGGTGGCTTCTCTCACTGGCTTCAGCCTTGCGGAAATCTTCCTCAAGACTCTGCTCATCTTTCCACAGTCCATAACCCTAAAAGCAATTAACAAATCACAGTCCATAACCCTAACAAATCACAGTCCATAACCCTAAAAGCAATTATATTAACAAATCACAGTCCATAACCCCAACTAATCACAGCTCATAACCCTAACAGACATTAGCTGATCACAGTCCATACGCCCTTACCCCCTCCCCCCCAGCTAGTGCTTACAGTACCCCACCACACCCCACCACACCCCACCCCACCCCACCCTCCAATATGAACTGGAAATGTTCAAATTCTCCCATTTCAATGGCATGAAAACACTTGCAGCAACTAAGCAGTATATCAGCTTTCATTCAATTTTAAATATGAACTGAAAATGTTCAAATTCAATGGCATGAAAACACTTGCAGCAATTAAGCAGTATATCAGCTTTCATTCACTCTCATGATTAAAAAGAAAAAAAAAGCAAAGGCACATTCAATAATTTAAGGCCAATGAATTAAACAAAGCAAACATTTAAAGAAATATGGCCATGAAGAAAAATATTAGTTAACATCTTGTTGATGAATCTTCAAAATTCAAAAAGTCAATTTCAAATATATCATTTTTGTTCAAATATATCATTTTTGTTAAAAATTTTAGACTGAAATACTGAAATAAGGATATATAAAATAACTGGATAAGTTTTAACACATGAAATCAAACTTTGAAAACATTAAGCATTTATAATGCAGTAACAGCGAACAGAAAAAACAAAACAAAAAATAAATAAACAAACAAATTTTTGAACTGTGCTTATAAACAGACCTACTTTTGACTTCCTACGTTTAAAACGTGTGACACATTTTTTTTGGTGCATCTTATGTGCATTATTGAACTGTTCTACCAATGATTCCTTGGTTCTCCAAAACCCATTACTCTACAAGGTCAACAGTAAAGCCAGGAAAAATATAGATGAAAGGAAAAAACAGCTTCAGAAACAAAGGCTAATAGAATAGGAAGTAAGGTGTCAAAGAAAGAAGAGTTCTAACTGATGACAGTTTTTACAAAGAATGTTTCTGATTTCTTCTCACTCTCATCCCCCTCTCTCTCTCTCTCTCTCTCTCTCTCTCTCTCCACACACAAACAATCTTCACCTATAATCCTACCTTCAGCACAGATCTATGTATGAAGAGTATAAGCAGTAAAAACAGGTCCACGGTTGCGTAGTTATCCTTCTTCTCGATTCCCAGGATCCTGGGCGGCCAAAACACGTCATCCTTGCGAACCAAGACCTCAGAGTTCCAGGGGAAGAACTCAAACTGGAACAGGTACTTGAGGACCACCACCGCCTGGAGGGGCACATAAATATATCATTTCATAGCTGTCATAAAACCATTTGAAGTGCACACCCATCTTTCTACTACTAATGTAGAGAAGATAATTTATAATGGTGGACCACCAGTGTCAAGATAAATTGAAGTATATATGACTGTAACCATTGCAAGGATCATATGTACAACAATGATATTGTAACTTGTCTTCATCTACGCGTGTGTGTGTGTGTGTGTGTGTGTGTGTGTGTGTGTGTGTGTGTGTGTGTGTGTGTGTGTGTGTGTGTGTGTGTGTGTGTGTGTGTGTGTGTGTGTGTGTGTGTGTGTGTGTGTGTGTGCACCATATGAATGAAATGTATATTTGAAAGTGTGTGTGTGCGCCTGCATGCATGTGTGTGCATCCTTACTTCTGTGTAGGTAATGATGGTGATCCAGAACACCTTGGCTGGCCTGGGCACAGACAACATCCCCCACATGAACACGGCAAACGGGTACGGCAGGGACAGCAGACTGGCTGACAGCATCTGGTTCAGGATCATGAAGAAGTAGCACAGGAGCTCTGTCCGTGAGATGATGGCCGTATAGAGGGCGCTAAGAAGGCGGTAAATTCTGGAGTGGCGTTCCAGGTATTCCAGGTCATCAAAGGCTTGTTGCTCTAGACTGAAAGATAGACCCAGGACTTATGAGTAAGGAAAGTCTCAAGAACCATGCAAGTAAGAAGATATCTTTCATAAAATGGTAAACCAAAACCAATCGCCCTTTGTAGTTCAACAACAAGGGGGCCATAAGAGTCATTATGACTGCATGCTTTAAAATCTCCACTTATATATATAGCAAATGAGTTCAACGTATACAAAATTCCCTTAGTGTTTAAACTATCAATTTACAATCATTTATCGTATTTAAGTTAAACTGAAAAACAATTCCCCCAAAGAGTGTTCTTACGTCTCTAAATGCACCAATGTCATGTTGTCTCTAGCACTGCTCGGCTCCACTTCAATTCTCACTCTGAAATCAACACCGTATAGTTTAACTTAAAAGATCATACTTTTTTATCATAACTTTCAAAATCCCACATATCATACCGGGTGTGGGGGTGGGGTTAATTCCTATACATTGTACGCATTTGGAAAACAATAAAAATTATCTTCACCCCCAGGGGTGTGCTTGCAAAGGTCTTCTTTTTCAGCTACTTGAATAATATATTGATTCTAAAATAGCTAAACATTTAAATTTATGAAATAAGTTTAAAAGCTTGTGTTTGAATTTAAAGAATTATTCAACTATTCTCCTATACTTACTCTGCAGGTTTCCTAACAGCTTCTTCATCTGACTGATCAGCTCTGGTTGAGTCTTCCATCTCCCTTCCTCCATGCTAGAATATCAAAGACAAACACATTATATTTCATTTACATGTAAAACCCCAGTGTGTTAACTAAACAAGTATGCATACTTTTCAAAACCTTATTCAATTCAATATGTTTTTAAAGTTTTATCATTTTTTCACACACATTTGCCAGATTTGCCTTTCTAAATGAGCAAAAATGTTCATTAGCTTGGAAGTTGGATCAAAAATGAAAATTATCAAACACAAGCCGAAAAACTTTCATACCATTAGCTTACGGTCAACCTTGACGTAGGCCTTCACCAGACTGATGTGAGTAGATGTTGTTACTCACTGACCACTAAGTGGTATAGCAGCCAGACCTGGCTTGTGTTTGATAACTCAAAAACTGTCATTTTTGATTTTTGCCTTTTTGAATTTTTGAACATGAGACCAAACATTCTTTTATCTTGTTCTTCCAAAAACCACTGTACCCATATTCACTATTCCTCTAAAATTATTAAATTATCACATAACAAACATGTTCACAAATAAAACTGTTAAGCAGATATTTTGTTCTGGTGAAAAAATTGGAAAACAGGAAAGCACATCTAGGACAGTAGAGTGGCATACATACATTCCTTACTTTTATTTCTTCCTTCTTCTGGTCCTTTTCGCGCTCTAGAATGCGTGCCACAAGTCTGTAGTCCCGTGAGATGTCATTCAGCAGGTTGATGAAGGAATCTAGAAGACTTCCAAAGAAGGCAACACCCAGCTTCAAGTAGTTCTTCACTTTCTGCCATTTTGTTGCTGAAATACATCAATAGCAATGACATAAATAACACGCCTGTAGCAAACAACTTAATAAGGGGTGGGAGTAGAAGTTTATGGCTATATAGGTGGATCTTTTTTAGTGTAATCCTGTCTTTATTTTAAAATGGCATAGAACCTGGATTAAATTATGATTCAGAGTGGACATTTTCCCCAGCCAAAAGAGCCATTCTTTAAATTCCACCAACTCCCTTTGAACATGGGCCTATATAAAGTATTAAGTGATCCAAAAGATCCCTTGAATTTCTAAAATGGAAATTTTAAAAGCATTTTATGCATTTATCATGAAAGACACCTTCTGTTTCCTCCTCTTCCTCCTCTGCTCCATCCTCACCACCACCACTGCCACCATCAGCACCGCTGGGGCCAGTCTGAGTGGTGCTGGGCCCCGTGGCACTACCCTCAGTGCCTGACTGACCTGGGGGCTAGAGTAGAGAATACACAGGGGTAAGTCTCTTTTTAAATTTAGAACCGAGTTCTTCTACACTGTCTAAGTGTCTTATATCTCAACTTCTATTTTATTGACATTTGTCAAATTTATCAATACTATTTTTTTTTACAATTTCAACTTGTACAAAGTTTGATCTGAGCTGGACATTATCACATGCTATGGATGCTATGGATCATCATTCACTTTTCACTTTCAAATCCATTTAACCTTCAATTAAACTTTGCATTGCCTTGGCCTTATGGGCTGCCTTACTTTTCAATTTAGCTAAAAACTTCACCTGTAAGCCAGAGAAAGATTTATTCAAAGAACAAGTGACTTCATTTTCATCAAGTCAAATACCATAAGTAGGCATCATCCCTTAATTATTTTAAACAATCTGACAAAATCTAAAAATGTCTATGAAATATATCACCTTTGGCAATAAACTGATCTTTTCAATGGCAGAAATTGTGAATATCGCAGATGGTATTTGTACTTTTTTAAGTCATAAATTCTTAAAATTAAAATATCTCCACTGAGTGCATAGCTGCAGCAAAATTGAAAAGCAGGCTACTATCTTATAGTTCTCTCTACAGTAAAACCCCAAGAGGACCACAAACGCTCTATATCATTTCCCCAATAGAAAATACCCGAGCTATAACCACTATATGGGAATACAATTTTTTTTAAATGGTCCCAAAATTATGCGCATGGAAGAGATGGCATCATCATCACAAATGACCTCATCTTACCTGTTCCTCTCCTGTGTGTTCTCCTTCTGTGGGCACCTGTGCCTTGTCCAGGGCTGCCCCTGTACCCTGCTCCAGTGCTGTGGTCAGCAACTGAGATACACAAATATAATAATAATAATAATAATAATGTTTTATCTGTAAGTAAACAGATTATACAATAATATTTTCAAATAATGTTTTACTAAATAGTTGGATTGTAAAATAACATAAATTGTTAAATTTACTATTAAATAATATAAGATTAATAAAATTGTTTGTTAAAAGTGTAATATTATAAATATGATTGATTAAATCATTCATAAAATTAGTAATATTTTCATTTTGATAGGATGTTCTGTTCCTTCACCCTTTCCTCCTCAATATCTGATCATTATCTTTGGTAATTTAAAAACTTTTCAAGCCCTCTTCAGCCTTTCCCCCCTATTTTTCCACCTATATATTTTCACTAAATATTTCCTGTCAATCACCTCCATTGGTCCTGGTTTCCTGTCCTCCTCCTCCGTCCCTTCATCTTCATCCTCATCCCTGCCAAGATGAATGTCCGTGGAAATGGTGTCCTCGTCCGAGTCATCTTCAAACATGTAGTAGTCTCCAGAACGAATTGCTGCAATAGATTACCAACCATGTTGTTAGGAATGGAAGATATTTGCTGCCAATTCAAAAATAAGGCAGAATAATTCTCAATAAGCATGCCTGACTGCAAACTGGTTTAAGGGGTGATTAAAAATCTCCCAAACTCTATCTAAGTGGACAGAAGAATATAACAGAGAGCCTCTTCTCTTTCTTGACAGTAAAGCATTCAGATCATATTTTGATTAAAAAAAAAAAAGAAAAAAAAGAAAGAACTGATAGGTAAAGAGTCAAGAAATAGGTATCTAACACACTTTAGTTGAAAAAAAGGTAATACCAAGATATATTCCTAAAACAAACTTGGCCTATGTATAATAGAGCATAGCAATTTTTTTAGCAATTTAAATATATGTTCATCCAATGCAGTCTAATCTATTCAAACTAATACATTAACTACTTTCTATGAGATTTAATCAATGTACCCAATTAAGAGTACATGAGTGCCATAGATTGAAATATTTTCCATAACCAAAATTAAAGGAAGATAATAAATAAATAAATAAATAAATAAATAAATAAATAAATAAATAAATAAATGAATAACCCAGTTTAACTGTGCCTTAAACTAAAATAATGTCCCTGTTTCTGTTATCTCGCCACACACTTCAATGTCTAAAACCATAAGAGAATTCTCTTCCTTGTCATCAGCTGCAATAAACCACATGCTATTAGTACAAAGCTTTGGCTTTGACACACAGGCCAGCCAAAATTGAGGGTTAAGATGATGCACGACTCCAAATATCTCCCTTCCCCAAACAAACACAAAAAAAGATCTGCATGATTCATAGACAATGGGTTGTTAAAAAATCAGTGCACACTAACTCTATAGGAAAACTTGCCGAATGCGATCAAATTAACAGACTTACACACCTCCTCCTCCCAAGTAGAATATAGAGAAGATAGTGATTGTACGAGTACATTGGAAACAAGAAAAGGTGTGTTAGTCTGTAAATCCCTGCAGAGTTTGTGTGTGCTAACTCATTCTAAACAACCCCAAGGCATACCTCTGACAACAGGCCATGCAACAATAGTCCCAGTTCCTTTCATACTTTAAGGCCTGTTCACTTGGATTCTATGTGAAAACCATTAGTCACTCTGTTTTACTCTTGTCATTCAATGATTCATGTAGAGTCAAAGTGGTTTTAACTTAGAACTGATTTGAACACACCCTTTGTGATACTAATAAAATGTCTATATTACACCCCATTAAAAAACAAAGCAACTGTACACTATATAAATAGCATACAACAGATATATACTTCTGAAGCACCATGCATATATTTTGGGGATTCACCTGGAGTAATAATCACTCTTTCTTGCCACACTTAAATACCAACAATGTTCAATCTAGATAGTAAAATAATCATTATATTCTATGGCATTTTGTATTTCAAAGATTGTACTAATTTGCATACCCCTTTTCCTATATCAGAGTTGCATGGTTTGAAATTATAAGAAAAAAGTAGGAAGAAATGACTCAATGTGCTAAGGCCAGGGGTTTGGGTGCCACTTAAACCAGAAAACCAAATAAACAAAAAACTAATTAAAAATGCCTCCCAAATTTCTTATTATATGGTCATGTTATTTTGTCTGTGTAAAACTATAGAAGAAAAGGTAAGAGGGCACCAGAATAAAATCTATCTTCAATGCAGAAAGACAATAACTTTTCTGTTCATGTCAGATGTGAGACATAATGTGTTGAACATTATTGGCAATGGCTTTTTACCTGATTACACCTGTCAGGTCTTATACGTTTTGCTATTGCCACTCACGCACCCTTTGCCACACAATATATATATATTTTTATAATAGGACTTGATATATGATGGTTATATACCAAGACTACTTCACCTGTGCTGTAGCTACTGTCCCATTGCACACCATCTAAGACTCAGAGAAATTAAGAACAAGATAAAACGGGAAACAAAATAAAACAACAAAGACAGGGGAACAAATCTGGACTTACTTCAAATACTAGTAGATGAAATTCTTAAAAAATATCACAATGGAAATAATTGGTACGTAACCCATTTTCTTAGATTCAACATTGATATTACCAGTGAGATTCTGGCCAGATTTGCAGCTTTCTGGTTGACAACATCCATAAAATTGGAAGTAAGCCCAGAGTGAGTTATTACAAAGAACAATTAGTTTTGAGAATCATAATGACAAAGATTAGAATAACAAATATAACAATTAATGTCACATATGTACATGATACAGGGTACTTCAAAGTTAATCAACTCAAATTATATTCTTTTTATTAAACATTTTTGTTTTCTTTTTAAATTACAGGAAGATTTGATAAAATATCAAAAACAGCATTTTATATGATATAACAATTCTTTGTATTACCCTGATCCAAAATAAAAAAAAAAGCTGAATTAAGGCCACAACAAGCAAAGAAAACCATAAACACGAAAAATTATCAAGTTTGCTAATATCAAAATTAAGAAAGCAAAATTATAATAATAATGATAATAATAATAATAATGAATGAATAAACTTAATGAATATTCAAATAAAAAAAATTAATGATCTAGTAAAATTGGAGACTTAGAGAAAAATTTTATAATAAATACTTTTATTTTTCCAATCCTAAAATGATAAATCCAGTATTTATTTTGTAGACAAAGGGAGCAAAAGGAATGAATGGAAAAAATTCCATTCCAAATAAGACATTAATAATTTCAACAACAACTGCTGCCAGATAGCAAAACAAGTTCCCCACACAATATATGTCACTTTTTTGAGAACTTATTTGCTCCACAGTGAGACTGACCCCTCCTCTATTTTATTCACTTTTTGACAAGAGCATTTTATATATCAGTTACATTAATTTTTGTAATGTAAAGAAAAAACTTATTCTCACAAGAACTGATTTTTTTTACCAAATTTGGTGTCAACCCACACAAAAAAAGGTATGTGAAAAATATATAAAACTTTGAAAATTTGAAACAAAGAAACAACTCAGCAATCTCGGTGACATGTGCAGATCTGTTCTAACTTAAACCAGATATAGACCAAATGACATCACCAGCTAAATAGATTGGTTAACATGGGAATAAGAAAGGCCTTTGTGATCATTATTTCTCTGGTGACCTCATTTAGACCATATACAGTTTTACTTAGACACTCTCTGAATGCACTTTAACACACTGCACTAAGAGGCCGAGATCTCTAGAAAAACAACCAGGAAATAATGAAAACCAAACTTTTAAGGTCTCAAAGTGCAGTTGTAAAATCAGTGAAAAAAATCACGCTCCCTGCAAACTACCACCTCAAAACATTTCCTCGTCACTCACTTTTATAATGGTCCTCGTGTTCTGTGTACTTGTTACTGATTCTCTGCTGCCGCAGTTTTATTCTCTCCATCTTGCGTTTGATATTCCTGAGGACAGCTTCCTCCTCCTCCTTCCTCTTCCTAACATCTCGAATCAGACGCCAGTTGATCAGTTCTGCTCCCCTGATATAGAACACATGAATATGTTCGATGTTGTATTAAGGCATGCAAATTTGTAATAAAAATATCATATTTATTTATCTAAAATGTTTTTCTCACATAAACATACAAATGGATATATCAGTCAAAGTTATCATTGAAGTCACGCTTTTCAAAATAAATCTTTTCATTTTTCTATCTGAAGCATGCTAGTTATGATAAGTATTTCACCATATTTTACAGAATGGGATATTTCTGGTTGAAATAACACTTGAGAGTCAGGCATACCAGATTTTAATACAAGTTTTAATTTCTGCCAATTCAAAATGGTACATAATTCAACCACTTTTAGGTGATGCACTGAAATGTAGCTTTGTAGCACATGCTGACATTACATGATACCATCATGTTCCTATGTTAACCTACATGTACCTCAATGCTATCACATTCCTATGTTGACCTACCTCAATGTGATATAACATTCCTATGTTGACCTACCTTGATGCTAACATGTTCTGTGCAGTGAGCTCTATGACTACATGGTCAAAATAATAGCTGCGGAAGATTCGGATCTGGATGAGGAGAAAGATGAAGACAACAGCATCCCAGGCCATTCCTGCCTCATCATATGGGAGAGTACAGTCCTCGTAATTGACTACAATAGAACAAAAAGATTTTTTTAAAAACTCTTCGGTATAAAGTATAAGGAAAACTCTAAAGACATCAACTAAACCGAAATCCAGATAAGAACAGAATGAAAATGTGTAAAAATCTGATTCTTAATATCTTAACTGATTTGCCCAATTTGTGTGTATAAAACAGTCAGATTTTTATAAAACTTCATCAGCATCATTACTGCAACTGAATCAGGAATCCACATATATCCCAACAATCTCTCTAAAAAAATCATCAGCAAGCACTTAAATCCAGGCACAGATTGAGGAGAGGGGTGCCAAGGGACTTTGATTTCAGCTTAACACAAGCTTGCACTGAAACTGTTGCTTCCTAATAAGCAAGGTTTGTTCATATGGGAAAACAGTGGAAGCCAAGGTATACCCCCCCCCCCCCCCCCCACCCACCCACCCACTTGATGCCAGTTTAAAAGCAGGTCCCAGTTTCACAAAACAACTTAAGTCAGTTCCCTGGCTTAGTTGACTAGGATTTCCATGAGATTGCTGTTACACTGTTCCTGATAGGGTAGGATGTGCCCATGCATATGGCCTTGGTAATTAAGGTCTTAGCCCGGGAACCTGACTATAGTTTTTTGTGAAACGGGGGTCAGTTAACAACAACTTATATAAAATAAGATGTGCAAGGATTGTTTATTTCTTATCTTCAAGTAACATGTCTGCTAAAATGAAATTTAAAATGATTTTCATGAAAATACAAGACTCAAGCAAGATATTAATGCAATTCAAACAACAAAACTAACGTGCACATTGAAAGTAACTTGTCTAAAATGTACAAACTCCACATCATCTTAAAACTCATGACATACTAGTACATACCGATCATAAAACAGAAGGAAACAAACAACCCAGAGGTTCAGAGAGGCAGGGTTACTTCCCAGGTATGTACCACCAACCATATTCACACATTTAAATGAGACAATACATAACACCTAATGACCCGTCCTGGCAGAGTGACACCACAAAAACCTTTCTAAAACCCTTCACCATGCAAGGGAAATAATAAAATTAAAAGGGATGTATTTTACTTAATTGGGCATATTACTAGGCTCACAATGTCACGGTCATCAGGACACCCATTGGTCATGATGGTCATCCTCACACCAGTGGTCAGGCCAACATCCCTGACCACCAGTACATGTCTTAATGAGGATATAACATGGATGTCTTGTTAACTGACATTGCTGTTCCAGTACAAGATCAAATAAACTAAACTGCATCATTTCAACTGATAATATATGAAAAAATATACAGGGTTTGCACCAGGCAAAAACAAAGAATCCGGTCTCGGTTCCACACCACCACCACCACCACCACCGCACCCTTACAAACCTAACCACATGATTCCATACCTACAAGTGGACCATCTAATCAAGCAAAAGAAGTAATAACAATAATAATATAAATATTGTGCCAGAAAAAAATCATGCACTCATCCAGCAGTAATAATAATAATAATAATAATAATAATAATAATAATAATAATAATAATAATGTGCCAGAAAAAAAATCATGCACTCATCCAGCAGCATTTGAGCTAAAACATTTCTGATTTAATTTCCAAAAAGCAGACAGTTTGATTGCTGCAATTAATTGTTTCAGGGCTTTTTTCAAAAAAGTACATACCGCTTTCAATTATCTTAGGTAGTGATCACTTAACTGCATTAACTGGTCTTTTTCCTCCAGGATTACATGCTGAGTACAGGAAGCTAAACAGTCCACTTCCTGCAGTCATTGTAAAAATGGTTTTTGTTCAAACAGTGCTGGATGCATTCACAGGCTGACTGTACTCACATATAGCATGCAGAACATAACAGATCATGCATAGAGTAGCCATTGCTACATCAAATGTGTGGTGTCATTCTCTTTGATAGTAATAATAATAATTACAATGTAAAAAAATAAACAAAGAGAAGTTAGAGAAAAACAGAAAGCCTTATAATGCCAAAATGATATAGCATATATTATAATTCATGATATGCCTCAGCGTGTTAGATAAACAGCTTGTTAAAACACCACTATAAGCTCAGTAATTACTTTCTTCTTGGAGTAAAAGGCATGGCCAGACAGGTACCCACTTAAAGCCCACTGTGAGGTATGAGCTGAGCTAAACTGCAACCCACTAAAACAGGGGCAGATCCAGAGATGTTTTCCGACAGTCTTCCAAATTATCTTTGTTGATCCAATCTTTATTTTTGACCGTCTGCCAACAGAATAAATTAGATACCCATGATTGTAAACTTGAAAATCTGATGGTCTTCCAGAAGACCCAGAAGACGGCCTCAATCCAACCCTGTAAAACCCAGCAAATACTGTGAACTATGAGCTCAGCCAGCTCTGTGCCATCAGCTCAGCAAAAAGGTTAATAGCTCAGCATTTACCTGACAGTGTACGACTGCCTTTGGATATGTGAGTAGTATAATGAGCTTTGGACTGGATAAAGCAGGTGACTCACAAGTTATTTTCCCCATGCAAAACAAAAATAAGTAAAGACCAAATTCTAAACAAATTGGCTTAATTAAAATCACCCAAGATTTGAACCAATTTAAACTGCACTCTGAATATCAATATAAAAAAAATTCCATGCTTATTGCTAGCTTATAAAATACTTCAACCAGTTCCCCTCACTCTTTACTCACCATTGTCTAAAATAATAAAAAATAGAAACATATTTAATGACAATAATGATGTAAAATATTGTTCATGCATAGAAACTTAGCATAGCACCCTTTTCATGAAAAAAAACATTGTATAAGTGTTTCATATGTAAAACTCATCTTCATGCTTAGGCCAATGTTCTGAATAAATACAAGCTATAATAATACAAGTACTGCACATAAATATAATTAAAAAATTTAACCATTCCTTGAAAAAACAATAGAATTAAAATAGGTCTTTCCCATTAAGCTTATCAAAATGCATTCTTGCAATTAAAATTTAATCAAAAACATTTCAAATGAATCCATGTGCCTTGTGCCAGAAATACTGCACTCAAACATAAAACTGAAAATAAAATTTCATATAAGAAATATCATAATTATCATTTCTTCCTGAATTGAAACAGGCCCGAATATATAAAATGCTTGAAATGTTTTGGGGTGGCATTTAAAATTTTTGAATATTATAAAGAATATATCAACCCAAAACATTTGACTATACAGCACTAGTGGACACTTACTGTAACTCTTAGTCCCAGAGTTGAATATATTGACTCCAGCCTTGAGACATATGATATTGAAGAGCTGCACCACCCAGCAGTAGTTTGAGTAGAGCTGTGTGAAGTACACACACCCTATCACCTGCATGCTGGCCTTCAGAAAGATCACCACAAATGTATAGGCTAGGAGAATATTCCACCTAGAGAGAATAACATCAAATACTTTTTAAAACTATGAATATCATTACTAATGTATAGGCTATGAGATTGTTCCACCTGGAGAGAATAACATCAAATGCTTTTTAAACCCTATGAATATCATCACTAATAAATAGGCTAGGAGAAAGTTTTCTTGGAGAAAAAAAAATAATTAAAACAATGTTAAATATTTTTCTTAAAGTCTGTGAATATTATCAAAAATGTGTAGGCTACAGGAGAATGTTCTACTTCCACAGAAAAAAAAAGAACAATGTCAAATGCTTTTTAAAAATCCATGAATATCACCAATAAAGGAAAGGTGAGAAGTATGGTCCATCTTAATAAAAAAAATGTCAAATACTTGGTAAAACTATGAATATAATTTAGTGGTAGTAAGAATTATTAACCTATAAATTAAACATGCCAATATTAGTAATATCACCTCCATTGAAAATGTCACCAAATTCTTTTATACTGAAAATAAAAAGAATACATAAAATCTATATGCTAAAAGAACCCATTGAGACAATTGGTGTACTCACATCTTTAGCAGCTGTCTTAGTGGCTTCAGGAACATATCCTGTCCATACCATAGCAACAAGAAGCAGCCAATCAGGTACCCCATACAGAATATACTGATACGACTGGTCCCGGCGATGAATACAATGACCAGCGTGACCCAGAACCAGTACATGAACACACCATGTTTTATTACATCCAGGAATGACCTAAGGAAGAAAACCATTGTTACTGGACATGTAAGCATTACATGTAGTAGATGTGTACATTTTTTTTCAAAGGGAAGCTATAATATATCAACTTTTATTTTAAAATAAAACACCTAACAAGTGACAAAACGAAATTGCTGTATATCATCGTCTATTTCGTACCTCTTATGTGAGATAAAATCCTCTGTGGGGTTTTCCTGTTCAGGTTTCAGGTTCTCAATGAGGACAGAATTGTCTCCGCCATCAGGGATGTCTGCTCCAGAGGTGTGCTCCATTGAAAACACTTGCCACTGCAGACATACCAGGAGCAACTGGAAGAAATCCGCTGAAACAAGAGAAAAACTTTTTATAAGACCACTCAGAATGTTGAATCCCCCCCTTCCCACATAAAATGTGGAGAGAGCCAATAAATACTTGCTTCTCATGATTTTTGGGTTGTAAGAAAAAAAGTAGGAAGAAATGACTGGGTGACCATTTTAGACAGGTTGAAAAATGCCAAGAAAAAAATCAGATTTTCAATTTAAAGAAAAAATCATGTATGGCTACAGCAAACAGATATAATTAGATGAAATTGGTTGGTAATCAAAAAGCACTTTATAAATGAATGTTTCCATCAAAAATTTTTCTAAACATTTAAGAAATCATTGATAAACCTCTTGTTAATGACTTCACTAAAACCAGACCAAATCTAAATGCTTATTTGTAAGCAAAAGATAAATTTTCAATGCAACAGCCAAAATATTTATTTCTCTGAATTGTTATTCAAATAGAAAGTTATTAAGTACTTCAGGGGTAAACTTTTAAGAAATATATCAAGTTTAGTACATTCCACACTGTCCCATCTTTAATTTCACTATTCTATACATATCCAGAACCTTACCTATCAACTTGTATGGGTTAGGAGCAAACTCTGTTGAATAGTCTGGTAAATAAAGCCACATCTCCAAATTTTTGTCAAACTCAGAAAATTCCCCCCAGGGGTAGACTGAAACATGGAAAAATACAATGAATACACTAGTCATCAGAAAATGGAGATACAGAAAATGTTGCCCATGGATAGCAAAATTGACCTTAAATGTGTTAAAAGTAAATTCTGACAACACTAGAACTGTCAAGATGCCAACATCAACTGTGCATGTATGCAACACTACATGAAAACAGATACGTCACACACACAGATACATATCTGTAAACACATGCGCACATACACACAAACATAGGGGACCACATGCACACTCATACACTCTTACACATACACATATATATAAATACACACACACAAACAAATGTGAACATACAAACACACAGCAAGCCACACCAACACAAAGCAAGCCATGTATGCTCATCCACTCTTACATGCACACGCACACACACACACACACCTTCACTTGCGTTCACATAAACCACAAGCACACACACAGTGTGTTAAAAGCCTTACCCCAACATAATCCTGGAGGAAATCCCAGACATGACAGGTACTGTAAAGGCAGCAGTATGGCCAGCGTGATCACATAGCCAGGCCAAATGATAGAACAGCCTTTTCTTCCCAGTAACAGCAGAACACCCAGGAATATAGCATACAGCACGGAATATGCATCCACGCGCACACATATCGTGATCACTGTCATGATGAAACACATCTAGAACACATTTAGAGACTGGGTAAGTAAAATGAAAATGTCAAATTGGCAGTGCTTTAAATATGATCTTATGTATCTATTTTTAAAGTCATGAAAACACCAAAGAACAGATAATGATACACATGAAATCCGAGCTTTGGTGCTTGTCTATATCAGAAATTCGAACAAAATTCTGCTTTATGAACAAAGTAAATCAAAATCCGTCTAGGAAGTGAACACTTAAAACCATGGGTTAACCTGTGGTAAAGAAGCATTAATGCTTATCTGTTAAGGTACGGAAAAATCCACACTAAAAATTCACTAAACCTAAGAATCGCTTGGGATGAAATGTACATTTCAAATATAAGCCTCTGGCAATACCATCACTGCTTGAAACAACTCCAACAAAAAGACAAACTCTACCTCCAATCCAAACTTATAGAAGAAATAATTGGCAAAGAACTTCAGGCAGCCCTCTATGCCAGTGTCAGCATGCGGCCGCTTGACGGCGGGGAACACGATGCCAGGTTTGGGTTTCTCTTCCACGGGGTTCAGGTAAAACTGGCGCTGGTGGACCTTGATCACGGCTTCAAATGCCAGGATGAGGACTATGGCAATGTAGTCCTGAAATGAAAGGGAGTTTTAATTTTGGTCATATAGGTTTGGGATGGAGTAAAAATACCTGTCAAATTTTCAATTAATGAACTGGGAATATTGAGGAGAAACCCAGGGTTACTGGTGGTTGAGAGTATAATTAACAGGCTGTTTCCTATTTTAGCAAACACTTCTCATTTCTGTGTCTATGCACCACCTACCTTGACATAATAGGCCACATCAGGTACCTTCTCCAACCCCACCCACACAGCATTGTTCACTGTCTCATTGGTGAAGATACTGCCATTGTCATGCTGACTGGACATGTTCTGAAAACAATATAAAATAAATTAATAAATAAATAATGTGTATTTTTTGGTTAAGGTAGACTATATGTAGAATATGAATGCAATGGCATTTTGCTTTCCAAATCCATATAAACTAAGCTGCTTGTTTACCAATTAAAAAAATAAGATAAATTAAGGGCCATGATTCATAGTGACACTTATGTCAAAAATCAGTTTGGCATCACAGACAAGACACAGACAGCAGCTGTACTTACCGTGCAGTTAGTATAAACGTAATCTGTTGGAGCTATACGCAGTTGGAACGCCATTTTAGCCAGGATGACCAGAGCTGCCCACACCTGACAAAGATGTGAGGCTACCACGCGGAGACGGCCAATGGGCATGAATATCATCAGGAAGAAGATGAAGATGAAGGACAAAGCTGAGACCTGGAATGTAATATGACTTCGGCCATGTGTGGTTGTCCATGGTTGTGTGTGTATATGCGCACCACCACGCATGCATGTGTATGCAAGCACATGCAATGCGTGTATGTAGATATGAAGATGAAAGACTGAGACATGGGGCATAGCACCTTATTTTAATCCAAGACTCCACTGTCAAAATGAATTTTATTTAAACAAGAAAATTCTGAACAGAATGTTTATGTCCAAAGAAATTACAGAATTATTATATATTTTCAAAATAAATCAGTGGTATGTAAACTTTATGAGTAATAACCTTTACTGTCACACTACTTACATGTAATACAGCCACCATAGTAATAGTAAAGGCCACCACTTTAAATATGTGTATTTCTAGCACCCGCCATAGCAGCCTGTACAGCACTATGTACCACTCACTTCCTTTCTCCCACAAAGTGTCCGAATAGTGCTTCATGGAACTCAGGAGTCCTGACATGAAAAAAGAGATATATGAAAAATAAAAGTACTTCACTGAAGAGATATTATTTTAAAAAACATTATCACTTTTCAACTTTGTTCATTGATTTTGTACAAAGTTTCTGTCCTGCTTTTCTGTTATTTGCACATTACTTATCCCAAATACCTCTTTTCTTTTTCTTCTTTTCAGCACCCTCATCTTCCCCCTCGCCCTCCGTCTGCTCCCCATCTGTGGCCTCACCAGGGGGCGCTGGCTTCCTGCAATAACAATTGTCGTTTGGTCAGAAATATTTGTAAAACTACATAAATTATCAACTCCTTGGATCTAATATGCTATTCAACATACAGCATTCTGAATTACAATTATTGACTTAACTATCATGTCAGTCTTCTGTTAAGACTGACTCCATGTAAAAATTTTTGTTCTACTGAAGCATAGTTTACACAAAGCTTGAGAGTGACTACTGTAATATTTCAGACATCTTTTGAAACTTTGCCTTCAAACTTGAACATGATTCAATTTGTCCAACATTCACTGTCAAGTAGAAACTTAATCTGTACACTTATTGCATACGTTATTGCCAGAAAAAAACATATTACTAATTTCAAAGTTCAATAACTTCAACAGTTAACAAGTTTTTGAAATGAAACTTTGCAGATTTCAGATACATGAGGGAGATGTCAAAAATCACAAGGGCCAAAAAGGGATTTTTTTATTTAATACATTAATTTTTTTCAGTATGCCAAAATGAGAAAAGGTGGTGAAATTTTCAGCATTTATTAAAAACATAATTTTCCTTATAATCCCATTGTGAAAATTCCACAACTGTTGAAGTAATTTGAATTTGAAATTAGTAATCCTTTTTT